AAGTATAACATGTGTGGAGATGAACCCCTTAGCTAGCTTCCCATCCATTCATTTCCGTCAAATTCGTATTTACAATTTGTTTTCTTTACAATCTATCCATTTTAGTTTAGTCTCGTCCAAACCTAAATCCCCCCCCCTAATTTCGTTTAAGTCTTAGTCTTAATCTTTCTTATTTTTAGTTTTGCATTCTTCGAGTTTAGTATAGTGTTTTAAACTTGTTTTTACGTTTTTGAGTCAAATCCAAGTGATTAACAATCCCTCCTAATCCCCGGTCCAGAACGATCCCTACTTACATACTTACTACAATTGATAAAAAGAGGGTTTAATTTGAGTGCGTATAATTCTCGCATCACCCAACAACCCCAACACCAAAGCGCATTTAGGCAGCAACCTCCGGGATTTTACAAAAGGCCGTATGCACCCACACAACCCCAAGCACAACCTACCCAATCCAAATCAGGTTCGTCCATAAATAATGATCAAAATTTTCAATTACTAACTTCTATGGCTCAGGGAATGCAAAATAGGGACAAAAAGGTTCATGAATTAGAGAAGCAAGTAGGGCAGATTGCGGAGTTTATGGGCCAATTCAAAGAACAAGGCAAGTTGCCTAGTTCAATCGTTGTCAACCCTAAAGGAGGATTGGAATCTGCTAAAGCAATCGTGTTGCGAAGTGGAAAGCAAGTTGGAACGGCCTCACAACCATTTAAAACAGCCCTAACTAAGGACGAAAAGCTGCAATTTGAGGAGGAGGAACAAGAGCAAGCCATGGCAAGGGTAGCACTACCCATGCCGCAGCCACCCAAACATCCCTATTCGGCTTCCAAGGGTAAGGAGGTTCCAAATTCGATTATTTTTAATGTTATTCCTCCAAATGTACCCTTTCCTCGTAGATTCATGGAATCGAAGAAGGAGGAAGCTGAAAATGACATTTTGGAGACATTTAGAAAAGTACAAATCAATATACCACTTTTGGGTGCAATTAAGCAAGTTCCAAGGTATGCTAAGGTTTTAAAAGAACTTTGCACTACTAAGAACAGAATTTTGAACAAAGAGGTTGTAAAGGTAAGTGAAAATGTCTCAGCCATCTTACAATGTAAAATGCCCCCTAAATGCAAAGATCCGGGTACTTTTACAATTACTTGTGTTATTGGCAATAATCGTTTTGAACATGCCATGCTAGACCTAGGTGCATCTATTAATGTCATGCCTTACTCAATTTATGCATCTATGAACCTAGATGAGTTAAAAAATGATGGTGTGATTATTCAATTGGCTGATAGATCTAATGCCTATCCAAAGGGTGTTTTGGAAGATGTTTTAGTGCAGGTCAATCATTTAATCTTTCCGGCGGATTTCTACATGCTTGAAATGGAAGAATCAAATCATTCCCCTTTGTTGCCAATCCTCCTTAGACGCCCATTCATGAAAACTACCCGCACTAAGATTGATGTGTTTAATGGGACATTGACAATGGAATTTGATGGGGAAGTTATTAATTTCAATCTTTCTGAATCTATCAAGTACCATAGTGATGATCATTCATGTTTTGCTATTAATGTAATTGATTCGTTGGCACAGGACCATTTTGAACAGTTGAACGAAGATGCACTCAAATTGGCCATTAGAAGAGGAATGGAATTCAAAAACAAGGAACTAGCCCCATTGGCCACCCACGGCATGCATGGGGAACACCATGTCATGCCCCCTAATGTACATATGAGTGAGATAGTGGCTGCCCTTGAGTCATTGCCACTACAATCTAGTAAGTCTTTGGACCCAATTTCAATTCCAATTTCGACTAATAAACCCATTCCTTCATTGTGCAGCCACCTTCCCTTGAACTTAAACCATTGCCAAGCCATTTGAAGTATGTTTTCTTGGGAGACCAAGAGACCTTGCCCGTCATTATCTCCTCCTCACTCACGGCACAAGAAGAAGGTAAGCTAGTGAGGCTTAATGCTGACTCAACCCTCCAATGATGGAAGTTGTGAAGAAGGAGATAATCAAGCTCTTGGATTGTGGAGTGATCTATCCAATTTTGGATAGTCATTGGGTGTCTCTGGTTCAATGTGTTCCAAAGAAATCCGAAGTAACTGTGGTGACAAATGCCGAAAATGAGCTTGTTCCTACTCGAATCCAAACAGGTCGGAGGGTTTGTATCGATTATAAGAAACTCAATGCCACTACAAGGAAGGATCATTTTCCGTTGCCATTCTTGATCAAATGCTTGAAAGGTTAACGGGTTATGCTTTTTATTGTTTTCTTGATGGATATTTAGGTTATAATCAAATTGTGATAGCTCCAGAAGATCAAGAGAAAACCACTTTCACATGCCCCTTTGGTACATTTGCATATCGTCGCATGCCATTTGGTTTATGCAATGCACCTGCCACATATCAAAGATGCATGATAAGCATATTTTCGAATTATGTTGAGGGAATTTAATTAGTTAAGGTTTTATGTTATTTGGTCATTATGTAGGTAAAGAAAGGTTGCAAGGAAGTGAGTGATGATTGGCATGGGAGGTACGAAAGACTAAGTTGGATTGGTTTGGCTTGAACTTACGGTATTAAAATTGTGTAGTGTTTGGTGTAGTACCTGACTAAAGTCACAGACTAAAATTTTCTTAAAATCCAAAATATTTTTATCATTTTACTTGTGAATTATTTAGATGCAAATGACCCATAAGACAACCTGCCCAATTCACTTCGAAATTTTTTTAAAAAAAATAAAAAATAAAAATAAAAAGTGGAAGATGGCAAAAGCGAAGAAGGCTGAGAGAAACCATGTTGACAGACGAGGTTCTGGAGTTGCAGATGCGCATCCTATGTTGACAGACGGGATTCATAGTGCCGTGTTAGTGATGCCAGTAGTCAAAGCGAATCCAAGCTAGTCTCATTTTTGTTAGTCCACGTCGGCAACATGGGATTGTAATCCCACTTAAGCCAATCACACTTAAGAACACGCAACAAACAGGGGCCCTTGAAAAGTATTGGTGATGAGAAAGAGATGGGGAGGTTGGAAGATACATGCGCACAGCTACAAAGGAGAGAATTTGGACACAAATCATGATGAAATGGGGGGTATGTGCGGTGATGCAATGAGACTTGAACTTCAACTCTAATTTAATTGTTTGAAAGGCATTTTAGCCTGGTCTTTGAAATTTACATTACTTTTCAGTTTGGTACCTAACAATGAAAACAAATTAAAGTGGTCCTATATTGTTTGTCGTAAATCATTTCAGTCATTCCGTAAAAAAATCCAATAGTATGATGCAGTGTTCTAAAAATCGGCCTAGGCGATGCCTAAATGCTGGAAGGTAGCCAACTGCCGTGCTTAACTCTAATCGGCTAAAAAATCGAAGAGCAGATTAGGTGGGCGTTGGACGGGATTAGGCAGGACTAGGCAGAGATATGGAAGTCTGGGCAGGGCTAGGCGAGAGCTGGGTGGAGACTAATCAAGCTTATATGAAGACGCTAGAATCTGCAATTTTTTTTTTTTTTTTGCAGAGTAGGCTCCACGAAGAAGAAGACTGTTCCCTAACCTGATTTTGCATGATTCAATTAAGATGGTGTCATATCCCGGCCCGGGGCGGAACCACTTCCTGGGCCCGCTCCACTACCGTAGCACGATATTGTCCGCTTTGGGCTTACCATTCCCTCACGATTTTGTTTTTGTGAACTCACGAGCAACTTCCTAGTGGGTCACCCATCATGGGATTGTTCTAACCCCCTTCTTGCTTAACTTTGGAGTTCCTATGGAATCCGAAGCCAGTGAGCTCTCAAAAGGCCTCGTGCTAGGTAAGGATGGGAATATACATTTAAGGATCACTCCCCTGGGCGATGTGGGATGTCACAATCCACCCCCCTTAGGGGCCCGACGTCCTCGTCGGCACACACGCGAACAGGGTTAGGCTCTGATACCAATTTGTCACATCCCGGCCCGGGGCGGAACCACTTCCCGAGCCCGCTCCACTACTCTAGCACGATATTGTCTGCTTTGGGCTTACCATTCCCTCACGGTTTTGTTTTTGGGAACTCACGAGCAACTTCCCAATGGGTCACCCATCATGAGATTGCTCTAGCCCCCTTCTCGCTTAACTTCGGAGTTCCTAGCCAGTGAGCTCCCAAAAGGCCTCGTGCTAGGTAAGGATGGGAATATACATTTAAGGATCACTCCCCTGAGCGATGTGGGATGTCACAGATGGTCCCACCATATTTTATCTATAGTTGCAACATTTTCTTTGAAATGGTCCCCACCATTTTTTTACAACTTTTTATACCCTTTTCTTTTTCCACTCTTAGCCCGTTATTATTTTTTATTTTGTTTTTTTTATTTTTTTGTTGTAATGTTTTATTATTATTTTTTTTAAGATACACCATATGTATTTCTATTATGTACCTAAAAATTCTTATCTATGGATTTCATTCAATTACAATTTTTTTTGTAAGTGTCAATATGCACTTATTTACAAGATATACAGGATATTTACCTAATTCTCCTAGCCTGCCTAGGCATCCACCTAGATCCTGCCTAGCCGCCTAGGAGCTAGGCGCTAGCCCACTGCCCAACTAACGCCTAGCGTTTTTTAGAACCTTCGTATGATGATGTAGAGCCGTGTGAGTCCCACAAATCCAATCATACAGTGAATGTGAATTAACCATAAAAATAAAATAAAATAAAATAAATAAAAAAACTATTTTTTTATATTTAAAACTAAACACCACATCAACATACTAGCAAGACACTAACAAGCTCATGAATCATTTCTATCGATTTTTATTGTTAAGAGACTAAACTGAAGAGAGATGCCAATCTCAAGGACCTATTTTGGCTAAAAAAAAGCCTTAATGATATATTAGAAGTGATTTTTGACTACTTTAGCCACAATGGTAGTATCAAACCTGCGGCGGTGGAGTCATCGCAATGCTCAAACGCCCACACCGGATACGGACCGAGCTGTCTCATGATGTTAAACAAGTGAAAGAAACTAAACGCAGGCAGAAGATGTATATATTGCTAAGAGAAGAAATGGAAATCTAGCTACTTAGCTGACGTTCAATAAAAAGAATAAAAAATAAAAAAAAGGTTCAGATGAAGAGCGGAGGCTTGAAAGTTCTAATTCATAAAATTTTATACGAACTGGAAACAAAAAGCTTGCTAATAATAAAAGATCAGAAAACAAAAATGAAAAATCTCCCTCCGTTTTCCCCTTCTCTCACGTACTTACAACCCGACACTCGGGAACCCGTTTATGTAGCATCGATGTTCCTTTGAAGGTCACCATTTGGTAGCAAGTTCTTCTGTAGTTGGTAAGCTGCACGAGTGACGCAGCTGTAAATATTGGGGCACAGAAAAAGGTACAACTAGAATCGAGGCATCAATTAGGTACATTTAAACCTACCTGTTCCGGCTTCATTTTTGTAAAACCAAATCTGTCAGTCCATATGGATTCTGCTTCTTCAGCAGCCGGCAGCACAATACTCTTCACACTCAAGAAAGCTAGCAGCTTCTCAACGCAGGAAAACAATAATTGGAAGTAGCCCTGTGAAGTTAAGTGATTAAGTTGAACGATATAAGATTCAAAGTTGAGCTGCAAGAACAGACGAGTTCTATCATTTACATTTATATAGTCTCACCTTGCCATGGTTACCATTACTAGTGGCGACCAAAGGAAGTTCAGCAACTTCATGACCAAAAACACGTATAATTCCAGCTGATACCACAGTTGAGCTGCAAGAACAGATAAGTTCTATCAATTATACTACACGGGGAAGCAAGTCCATGACAAAATTCAACAGAATTCTTACTTGACTATCAGTATTGCACAGAACATATTCCCGAATTCTTGGCTCCTAACATTCCTTCTGAGAAAAGGAAGTAATGTTAGAAAAGACGGACATGTAAAACTTCAGTCAAATATAAACCAACTACAACATAAGGTATAACATATCCTTATGCTTACCCATAAACCATGGCCGGAATAAGGTCTCGCCCAGATTCAGCGTCAATTATAGGATCAAAGCAATCCTGAAGCACAGATATTGGAGAACTTCAATTAGTCACGATGATTGCTTCATTCGTGTTGTAACAAATGCCTCAACATGCTTCGTTAATGCAAGGAATGATAATTTATCAAAAGTAAGCCTCATGCATAAAAGCATAGTGCACTGTACAATTCCTGTCTAACAATATTCAACTTTTCGGTCATACAAAAAGGGAGAAAAGGAACATCATCGTAACAATCAAACACCAACTGCCCCAAGTAAGTCCTAAAGATATCATCTTGTTCAAGGGGATTATGCTGCCTATGTGCAAATGTAACCAAAGAATTTCTGTTTTTATTTCGTTTTTGCTTGCAAAAGAATTTCAGCTCGTAGTCATACAATGCAGAAACTAAGCTTCTTTCAGTTTGTTTTTTTTTTTTTTTTTTCCCCTAATTTGTTTCCTTAATTATAACAAATTGTTTGTTTCTACTAAACCTCTTTGTGGGAAATGGCTTTGTTGTTGTTGTTAATTTGTTTTCATAATTATAACAAACTGTCTAAGACATTCAGTTATCACAAAATTTTCCAAAGGAAAATGTGGATGGACATACTAACAGAAAGGTTATTACAAACAAATAAAACAATAGTAAACTAAAGACATGACCATACTAACAAATACTGAATAGTGAAAATATGACTGAACAAAAAATACAAAATTAGATGCACAACCCTCCAGAAGAAAGTAAAACACTGGAATGACCATAAATTGCTATAGGCAAGCACAACGTTTTCAAAACAGAGAGAGCAGCACTTACATGGAAGATAGCAACAGCCTTTGAAAGTAATAAGCGACATTCCTGAGAAGCAATTCTGCCACTAATAAGTCTCCATCTCACATCAAATCCACTGACAGCCTCCAAAACATTTGCCTCCATCTTCTTCTTTATAACATCCAAAAGAGAGTCAGGAAGCCTCTCAGCTCCTCTAGTTAGCAACTTTTGCAAAATAGAATGAATTCTGCTGCAGTCTGCGCAACAAAACCACTTCCCTTTTGGCAATTCCTGTTAAATAAGTGGTGTCAAACAGTCAAATCTGAAGTTTTATTTGCAAGGCCACAGGAAAAGGAAGGTTTTACTGATATTAGTTGTTAAACACATCTTTCTTTAAGTACTCACCTTTAAATTTGACATTTTATGTTTCTTCAAACAGCCAACATGAAATTCCTTCTCACACTGGCATACATCACGAGAAGAGTACCATTTTGACATTTAGATAGAAGCGAAAATAACATTTCGTGTAAAATGCACTTCAAATTCACCAAATATGGCATTAAAAAAAATAAAATACCTGATCACAAAGTATAATAGTTCGTGGACCAAATCCTGATTTGCTAAAATCATAACCTCTGCACAAGAACCAATAATAAAATAAATGCAACATAAATAGAAGTAAATTGAACGGCTATACGCCACAACTGCATCAGGAATAGGATGTCTAAGCCCGTAGAATTCAACAAAATAGGTTTCTGAATATTACCTACATAAAAAGCATCCAGTTAGTTCAGCTTCTATGTCTTTGACAATACGAATGCATCTTTGGGTTATCTGTTCTATAGGATCAATTCCATCAATCCTTCCAGCGGCAACAGCATTTTCATTATGTTCCACAAACTTTTCTCTTTGAAACATATTTTGGCAAAACTTACAATACCAGTCACCACGAGGAACACTTGGTAGAGAGGCACAGTCTGCAGGAGGCACAGAAACTAATATAAGGCAAACACAGTTCAGAAGTGTATCGGATAAGGAACTCAATGAGTGTTCTCAGATACAATGCATGGGAGAAACTAATACAAGGCAAACACAGTTTAGAAGTGTATTGGATAAGGAACTCAATGAGTGTTCTCAGATACAATGCATATCTCCCATAAGTGAAATGCAAGTTCAAATTCAAAAATGAATTTCAGATTCACCGCAGCTACAAAAACTCAAAATTCTATGCAGACAACAAACAAATAAAACAAATTCTAAGCAAATTTTATCTCCACATATCATGAACTTGAAATATAATTAAAAAAAGCTTTTATAAATAAAGCCATAGTCCTTTTGCTTTCTTTCACAGAGTCAATGTAACAACTTTATCTCATCCATTCAAATAGCATCTGTTACTGAACTTATAAAGAAAATAAAAGGTCTTACTTCAAAAACGAAAACAAAATTGAAAAAGTCTAGAGTCAATTAGTAGGGAATTAACAATTTGTAATCATACACATAAAAAACTTAAAAAAAATCTTAGTTCACCTCTGTGGAAGGCCCTTGGGCATCCATCACAAAGCACAAGATTCCCACCATCTGCACAAATGATGCACAAGTCATCATTATCCTTGGCTGCATATTTCCGACCTCTTGACAAAGATAAAGCCAACTCGTGGAGAGACACTCCGTTAGATGTGTAAATGTATGCATAGCTGCCAAAAATAAAAATAAAAAACACAACCATAGAATTATTAAGTGTTTAAGGTAAAATGTGACATAGTTAGCCACTGAATATCTGACAAAAAGCTTACGGTTTCCTGCGTGTGGCCCAACCTGCATGGGCCTCAAACTGTGACGGGCTGACCTGCAGATTTTGAGAAAATACATAGGTTAAAAAGACTCCAACACAGTTCAAGTGCAGTGAACTCCAAATGCTAGCAAACAAACCTCACTGTTGCAGCAACGGCAAAATATTCCAAATCCTTTTTTGTAACCAACTAGTAATTTCTGTCCAAAAGAAGGAATTATTATATTGAATAAGGTTAGCATGTAAAAATGACCAATCTTTTTCTAAACAACCTGCCCACGTGCATAATATGCTACTTCTGTTCCGTCAGGCAATCCACCTTCCTCAAATACCAACTTATGCAGCCGCTGATCTCTTTAGAAATATACACCAATGAATAAAGAGATTATTCAAATGTCACAAACGAAAAGAAATACTACATCCAAGATTATGCTCCCCAAAAATCATAACTTTAAATAATACAAGAAAGCAGGGGAAACCTACTTTGTCGTAATCCTCCACTGACTTTTCTTCAGTGAAGAAAAATACACCGAAGAAGAACCGAGGGGCCTTGAGATCAGAATTGGTTTAGATGATCTGTAAAAATTCACACAAACTGTCAAAAACAGATCAAGTACATACAGATATAGCTTGTATATTACTATATCTATCAAGACACTTTGAACAGTGCTCATCACAAATCCAATATGTTTCTGGAAGGAATCAGTTTTCTTGGGTTGCCATTGGTGCAGATTACTAGTCCAAAGAAAATATCAAACACAAGTCTATCAATGGTTCTAGTTGTAAATTCAAAGGAAACACAAGTAGATACCAACTTTGGTGTTATCTTCCATCTACTCTTACAATCTGAACACTCTGGAGAAGCACTTTTGGAGGGATCTGAGATCAAAAGTGGTGTTGATGACCTGAAATGAAGGTAGGAGCATAAAAAAGGGAAGAAAAAAGTCTTCTAAAACCTCAACCAAAACTATATCCCTTCAATGATCCAGATGTTCTTTAGAACAAAATAGTCATTTAGGTTAGTTAATTTAGTGCTTCATCACTTATCCATCCCATATATGCAGTAATGATACAACAAATGGAGATGGGATGCCATCAAAGAAAGAGATATACTTTCTTGTCTTCAACTGGGTCTTCTTTTTCAGTGACAAATAGAGTGGAGCACTTTTGGGGGATTTTGACACTGCGCTTTTCAGGGGAGTTGAGATTGAACTTTTCAGGGGTTTTGAGATTGCACTTCTCAGGGGTTTTAAGATTTCACTTCTGGGGGACTTTGAGATTGCAATTTTTGGGGACTTCGTGATTGCACTTTTCAGGGACTTTGAGATTGCACTTTTCAGAGACTTTGAGATTGCACTATTTGAGGACTTCGAGATTGAAACAGGCATCAAGGATCTGAGTTACGACAGATGCAAGAACATATCAAAAGTTATTTGCGTATCTTTATAACAAAAATTTAAATGACACAACAGGTAACATTCTTATTCATTACTTATGGTTTCAGAAATATATTACTGTGATTTATGACATAATGTCCTCCTATTCGACACAAGTGAAAAACACCGTAGCTGATCCATTTATAATGGCACAGATACTAGATCCAACCAAAGCATTAGCCTTTTAAGATTCTTTCAATCGGCAAATATCATATGATAGATTGAAACATGATAAGTTTGAACCTCTTGAGTGCACCCAAAGGAACCATGGTTTTTCGGGAACAGTTAGCAAAATACAGTCTCGGAATCTCAGACAAAATAGAGCCAATTCCCACCCTAGGACTAAATAAACACATTGTCAAACTATATACGTATGAAACAATAACTCAATGATAGTAATATGTTATTATCAACTTCCTTATAAATAGCAACATGAAAAGTTTGAATCTATAAAACACAAGCACAACATACACTACCTTAAACTGAGTTTTAGCAACTTTAACAATTAATGGAACCCAATGCACAATATTTCCAATGAACTTGCAATTACTATAGAATGTGGATATGTCACTCCCTTGACCACAACACGAGGCTCTTATGTTTAAAGTTGCAAGTAATATGGAATGTTGAGCTGTCTTCTTATTTTATAAAAAACAAATATAGTTGTGGAAATTACAGCAAAACCATCTGACTTTGGAGATCTGGACAAGTCTTTTCTATTATTTGCATTTTAATGCGAGTGTTAACACCTTTCAAACAGACTAAGTCCAACTAAAAGCCAAACCACCATAAACCTTCTGGTAAAGTCCTATTCAAGTAAATAAAATTACTACCTAATCATTGACCTTATAGAACAACAAAAAAGTTGACACTAAGAGATCTTGATGCTTAGAGACAAGCAGATGCAGATAAGATCCCACTAGCATAAAATTATGAAATACCCTTTATTTTTATAACCAATTTCCCAAAACAGTCCTAGAACGGTTAAAACTGCAAAATATATTAAATCATACACTGGCTAAATAAGGGGGAAATCAAGGGGTACAATCTGGAAAACCAAAATCCACATATTCCAAAGAAAAACTTGACAAAATGACAAAGCTGGACAAGGTTGCTCAAGAGGATACCGTACCTGAGACTGTTACCATTCTCATGAGTTAGACTGCACTCAGGCTGCTTCGGTTCCATGCAAGAATAGCACAGAGATCCATCACCCAGTGCACAGTATGGAGGAAAAGACACTAGAAATGATAGGGAATAAATAGCAATCAAGAAAATGTTCAGAAAATTGCTAAAACCAATACGATTAAAATTTATTAATGCAAAAGAATATTGACTAAAAAAAAAAAAAAAAAACTCACCACTACATTTTTTACAACTAAAATACTTCTCCATGGGTGAAGAACTAATGAACTTTTGAATTGTTGTCTCCAATGCTTGCAAAGAAGCAATTCTGCATGACTTCAAGAGATCAAGCAGACTCCTTCCATTCTCAAAACAAATATACTGTGCTGCTCGTCTGTATGTTTTACAAGCATGAATCTCAAATTGGGATGGTGGAATAACCTACATTGATTGGAAAAAAAATACAGTAAAAAAATACACAAACCAAATCACAAAACAGTTTATAGCATGCTAAACCATATTAGCGTAACAAACATTACTCACTCTGCAGCTGTTGCACAGTATGCATGAACACAAAATCCCACCATCCTTTATTGTGCCCCGCAGACCGAAGGCCTGAATTCGGAAGTGCCACTTTTAGCTCATGACATATATTAAACGTATGGTATGGAATCTGCATATATATAAAATTAGAATTAATGCTACCTTCTTGCTGCCCATGTAAATAACTTGCACCCCATCAACCAACCCAGTGTCAAATAGCTCTTTGACTGTTGTAGGTTTCCTGTCCAGCACAATCTTCTTTGACATTTTCAATTCTAGCTTATTCTTAAGTGGCGATGCCAGCAAGCCAACTCCAACTGTATCTTCCCCCTCTATATTTGATATCACTTCAACTGGCACAGACCCAGATGCATTTTCCACAGTAGACCCTGATGTATCCGTTTCTCCCTCATGATAATGGGGATCATCTTTAACTATAACTTCAACCAAGTCAGCTTCCAAATCGTGCTCATCACCCGGAGGCCATGACTGCTCACTGTCACCCTCAATTCTACACCTGGGTATCTCCAAATTGCCATTTGCCTCATCTTTAACTAAACATTCAACTAATTGAGGAGAAGGGCTTCCGTCAATTCTCGGCTTTTCCGAGCTCTTAAACCCATTTATCTCTGCGCCACCCGAAACCCCATTACCGCCATTGATCCGAGCCCTTCTCTCTCGGGTATAAACAATCACACCATTCACAACCGCACCCTTAAACCTCTTATAATTAACTCTCTCATAAACACGCACAAAAGGACTCGTCTGGGACTCGGTCTTAGTCCCAGCCACTGAATCAGCGAGCGTCTGGCCCTCCAATACACAAGCCAATTCCCGCTTCATGCTGGTTCAGTAAAACACCCCCACTCCCACAAATCGTCCCCAAAATCGGCAAAACCCTCCCGACAAAATCGCATACGAAATCAAACAATTTTCAAAACCCAACTACTAAAACCCTAAAAATATAGGGTTTAAAACAAAATTGGGGAAGGAAGACAGTACCGGATATTTCAGATGACGCCCACCTAGTGAAATCGGTTGGAACTGCGACTCTGGGATGGCTCATAAATGTGAGAGGGAGAGAGAAATCGGATTGAGGGAAATTAGGTTTTTTGAGGGATTTTTAGTCGCTGATTTTGCTTATTCGAGTCGAGAATTGATTGGAGAGAGGCGGAGAGGAGCCGCGATATCGCCGTTATTGGGAAGGTGAACTGACCCGACTCAGAGAGAGAGAGGAGAATCAGAGAGATAACAGTCGCACAACAGAAAGGAGGAGGGCTAATGGTAGGATCCGTAATTTAGTTCAGAGAAAAGGTAAAATGACCAAAATACTTGTACTCCAACTTTCTCACGCCAACCCCAATTACTCGCTATTTTTTTTCCCTTTTTAGAAAAGGAATTGACATATATAAAAGCAAGGAAAAATAATACTAAGAAAAACTATTATTTTTTACGCTATCTTCAATGAACCGAAAAAGTTAAAGTCAATATTTGACTATCAGTAAATAACTGAATCTACAATCAATGGTTAAACTACAGAGGAGCAATGAGGGGCGATCATCCCTCCTCTCACTGGAAATCAAGCCTCCAAGTGGTGGTTCCGCCCCTCTGGTCCAGTTAGAAGTGATGGCTGCTGAGCTGGTTTTCTAGGTTTCTGCTGCTATGCAGTAAGAGTGTTTAAATATTATTTTTTTTAAATCCTTCAGCAAAAACAATGCCATCTCGTTTGGTGATTTAAAAGAAAAATAAATGGGACGACATCATTTAAGCGTTTAGCCGTTACCTCTTCACCCCATTTTCCTATTTCCAAAACAAATCGGTGCAAATAGCAGCACCCTATACGCATCCCCTCCTCCCAACCCCAAACGCTCAAAGGTTCGTTCTTTTCTAATTCAATTCATTTTTGCGCAAATGGGTTTTTTAGGTATTTGAATTTTATGTTTTATGTACGATTTCAGGTTGAAAGATTTGATTTTTTTTTCTTTCATTTTGGGATTACCAATTGCTTGATTGATCGGTTAATATTGAAACCCTAGGCATTTGGTACTTTGGTAGGAATATATTTATGCTACTTAGTTATGTTATTTCCTTACATTTAGTGAGCTAATTACTACTTATTATAGTGTTTTGAGCTATTTTCCTTTGTTTGTAGGTCCTAATGACAAACTTGGCAAGAAAAGGCAATTTTGAGCCTTTTGGAGCAGTTTTGGGCTTATTTTGGATAGCTTGTATATGGAGCAACATGGATGGACGAATTTGGAGTCAAAAGAGGTTAGAAACATGCTACAAATCAGAAAAGGAAAGTTCATGACAAAGAAGATAAGGAAAGTGGAAGAAAAGCCAAAACCTTATCCAACCTTATCTTATCCAAACCTTATCCTATCTTATCCTAACCTAATCTTGTTCCACCTTAATCCTAGCTGCAAGTGGACCTAAAAACCTAATTTCTAGAAGCCCTATCTGACCCTAAAAGGGTGCCACACCTTTCTCCCTTTTATGCCTTCTAGAACACCCAAAATCAGCCATTAGACACTTAGTTTCTAGAAGGCCCAATTTTGGACGAAAATTCTTAAACCTATTTCTGAATGGATTCTGATTTTATTTGGCCCTTTTTCTCTTGGATTTGGATTGTATAAGTCCATATCTGAGATTGATTGGACTTAATCCCCAAACCCATGCGCAACCTAGGGGCCCTAAACACTTATATTCGCTAGGTTTAACCCTAAATCTGATTGCTAGGGTTTTGCCATGCTATATATATATATATATATATAACTTAAAGTTGCCGCACCCCTTAGACACCCTAGGCAGCCATCCATCCTTCAATTCATTCATCCATTCACAGCAGCCACCATTCATTCAGAAAATACACTTTGTGCCGCAAGTCCTAGGGAGAAGAAGGAGCACCATGGCTTCCATAGGAGAAGGACCATCTTGTGCCGCAAGGAATCTACATCCATTGGAGACTTTCAGAGTTCTTTCTTCCCTTGTTTCGTTTCCATGTTTATTCTAATTTGCTTTTCAATTGTTATGAACATGTGTAACTAAGTTTTTCTTAGTTAGGGGTGAATTCAAAACCATGGGCATATGTTTTATTTGAATTGATTTCCTCCAGATTTTGTTTCTTGAATTGTGGATGTGATTTACTTAATTGATTTATTGAGAACTTGTTCTTGTGTGTTGATTAAGGATGCATACTTAGTTTTCATACATGAATTTGATGCTAGGATATAAGGAAATTTCACCTAATCGTTATGACCTTATATTCATAAGTAGTGGAAATCACTAGTCATGATTGTATTAAGTAAATTCTAGGCAAGAGTATCATGCAATTCATAGTTACGAATGCCTAGTCAATGCTTAGGGTTTTCAAAAAGCTTAATGATCTTTGATTTTATCTCTATTATGCAGTTCATGTAGGGAAATTGATAAGAATAATTTGATTGTCGATGCATATTCCATCCAATTCAATGAAACTAGGAAAATCTAAGAGTTAATTTGTGCTTTTCACAATTAATTTGGGGCATTGTCATTCATGGTTTAAAAGGAATAAAATCTGGAAATCAATTTATGTTACATATGTGCATGTGTGGAGAAGAACCCCCTAACTAGCCTTTTTCCCATTCAATTCACCTAGTTTAGTGCCTAATCTGTCTAGTTTACAATCTGTCCATTTTAATTAATTTCGTCCAAATCAATTCCCCATTTTATTAAGTGTGTTAGATTAGTTAGAAAAGTGTTTGAATCTGTCCAAATTAGTGTTTTGAGTCTAAGTTAGTTAAATTTCGTCCAAATCACCCTTTAGAGTCTAGTTTGAGTCTGTTTGAGTGTTTTGGGCTGTTTTGAGTCTTTTTAAGTTGTTTTGAGTCATATAGCTCTAGGTAAGTGTGATGCGAGAATTATACGCACACAAATTAAACCCTCTTTTTATCAATTATAGTAAGTATGTAAGTAGGGATCGTTCTTAACCGGGGATTAGGAGGGATTGCAAATCTCTTGGAAACTGACTTAAAAACGTAAAATAAAGTTTAAAACACTAAGCTAGACTCAAAGAATGCAAAACTAAACATTTAAAACACTAAAACAAACCAAAGGACTCAAAACAGCCCCAAAACACTCAAAACTGCCTTAAAAACACAATCTGGGCAGTTTTGAGCACTTTGGTGAATTTGGACGAATGTGTGTAATAAATTGAATCAAAACACTTATAAACACAAACTAAGACACTTTAACACTAAACTAGACTCAAAGAATGCAAAACTAAACACTTAAAACACTAAAACAAACCAAAAGACTCAAACAGCACCCAAAACACTCAAAACTGCCTTAAAAACACTTTCTGGGCAGTTTTGAGCACTTTGACTACTTTGGACGAAATTGGGTAATAAAATGAATCAAAACACTTAGAAACACAAACTAAGACACTTTCTAACTAAGTTGGACACTAAAGCAAAGGGGGATTGAGTTTTTGACGAATTTGAAAACAAAACTTAAAACTTTGTAAAACGAACAGATTTTAAAACGAATTTGGATTTAATGAATGGAATGGAAGCTAGCTAAGGGGTTCATCTCCACACATGTTACACTTGCATATAAAACGATTTCCAATTGCTTTTCAATAACTATGATGCTCAACACCCCAAGTTAACCGTGATGCACTAATTAACTCTCAAATTTTCCTTATGTTATTGAATTGGATGATGCATGTGACAATTCAAATCATTCTCCAATAGTTCTCAACATGAATGCATAGAAGAGATACAATGAGAGATCATTATGCTCTATGAAAATTATAAGTGTTGACGAGGCAATTGTAACTATGAATGCATGATACTCTTGCCAAGAATTCATTTAACGCGATTGTTTATAAGCAACCTCCACTACTTGTGAATATAAGTTCATAACTATTAGGTGAAACTCACTTATATTCTAGCGTCATATTCATGCATGAAAATTAAGCGTGCACTCTCAATAAACATACATAAATAAGTTATCAATCAAACAGTTAAACAAATTGAATTCACAACTTATGAAACGTAATTAGAAGTAATCAAATCATATTGCAAGCATAAACATATATTTCGAATCCCCCCCTAGCCAAGGGGGGGTTTAGTTCCTCATACGTACAAGACAAAGAGAATTGAAATTAAACATTGAAATCGAGGAAAAGCAACACCTAAAAATTCCAACAACTCAAACTTGAATTGTATGAACGTTTAGGCACTCTTCTCCTCCTCTTTGTTGTGGCACAAGGTCTAAGGATAGGTTTGGAGGGATGGGGAGTTATGGATGGTGTAGAATGATGTGTTTAGGATAGGGATGGATGTAGGGGACCTCAAGGCTTATTTTTGGGCAGAAAATATGAAGAATGGTGAAGTATGGATGTGTTATAGAGAGGGGATGAATTTCTGGCGTGAATGGTGAATGAATGGGAGTGGTTTGTATGAATGCATTGCATGGTTTTATAGGGAGAGAAAGGGGTGAATGTGCATGTGGCTGCAAGGTGTGAATGATTATGGGTGCATGTGGTTGAAATAATTAAGGGAATGCATGTGCAAAACAGCTAGGAATGGGTCTTTTGTTGATGATTGTGTTGGTGATGAATGTGGAGTGGCTGGAATGATGGAAGAATAAAGGGTGCATGTTTGAATGATTAAAGGGGCATGTGGGTTGGAAATGCATGTGGAATGGCTGGAATGAAAGGGAAGTCATGGCACAAGGTGGAATGACAGCTAGGTTATGATGATGAATGCATAAAGGTGGAATGACAGCTAGGTTATGATGATGAATGCATATGGATTAGGTTGGAATTGCATGTGGAATGGCTTAAAGGATGGAAGTGC